GCGCTGCTCTCCGTGGACTTCCACGCGCTGGAGCAGGACGCCAGCAAGGAGCAGCAGCTCCGGTAAGGCGGAGAACGGGGATCTGTGGCGGAAGCGCTGTGTGTGGCTGTTCCAGCTGTTCCAGCTGTTGAAGCGCCGGACGCACCCGGCCATTCGTGTCCGTCGATGCTCTCTAGGGAAGCCCCGGGGTTTGTTGTGTGTGCTGGGATCTGCGGAGGTGTGGGAGGCACTGGGGGAGCTGCCCGGCAGGGAAGGGCTGGGATGGCTCTGTGGGATGAAGGGACAGCCCAGGTGGATGCACTCTCCTGACTCTATGTGCTGCTGGGGAATACAAGCACTTGAAACTTCGATAATGTACTGAATCAGCTGTCTTGTACTGCAATTACAACAGTCTTTAAAGGTTAGAAGACATCCCTGCCTTCTTTTAACCAGAAGCATTTCTGTCTTTGCAGAAACGCTTTAACACTTGTTGTTTTGAATTGTGTGCCAGGCACAAGCTGGGAGGTGGCAGTGGGGAAAGCATCTTGGTGTCACAGCTGCAGCACGGGCTGACGCTGGAATTTGAGCACAGTGACTCTCCTCGGCGGCTCCGGCTGGTGCTCAGCGAGTTGCTGGCCATCATGAACAAGGTGAACTTCCCCATAGGTGGATATTTGTGAGATTTAGGTTCCTCTCTGGAATGGCTGACACACTGGTGTGCTTCTGGTGCTGCTGCTGCTTCTCCAGTCCTTACCTGCTTTATCAAGATTCAAAGTCTCAGTCTGATTGAACAGTGGCTTGTGTTTAAACTCTTTATGACTTCCTAAAGGAAGTCTTTGCTGATGTTATACAGATTCTATAATACAGAGATTCTGTGCTCACATGTAATGTGATTGGGTGATCTGTCATTGGTGATCTGTCACTTTGGAAATGAAGTGCTGACTTTTCTCCATCCCATTCTTTGCCCCTACTGCCGTGTGGTATTAACCATCATATTTCTCTTCCCCCACTTCCTTTCTCACCAAACGTTTTGTTTTCCTTGTGTAAACTTAGAATGTCAGTGGGCTGTTTTTCTTTCATCTGAAAAGAAGCAATGATACCATCTGTGTTGAAGTATTTCCAGTAGTAAATATTTCTTATTCTACAAACTTTTCCTGCTTGTTCTGCATTGATGGCTTTATGGTTTTGGCAGTTTTTAGTCTACTAAAGATGCTGAATTTAAAACAGATTTAGACAAATTGCTCCATAAAACCTGTTCACTGATGATAAATGTTCTCTTGCAGGTGTCAGAATCAAATGGTGAATTTTTCCTCAAATCTTCTGAGCTCTTTGAGAGTCCTGTTTACCTGGAGGAGGCAGCAGATGTTCTCTGCATTTTGCAAGCAGGTGTGTTTCTGTACTTAGGGTGTTTTCTGACCTCTCACAAATGTAACAAAGCAGTTTGGGAGCTGCTGTGGCAGATGTAAGGTTAATCTAAGCTCTTGGAAACAGGGCTTTTCTTTCCCAGTGAAACATTGTGACTTTCAGCACCCTCTTTCCGTGCAGAGCTGCCATCACTGTTGCCAATAGTGGATGTGGCTGAGGCTCTGCTGCACGTTAAGAACGGAGCCTGGTTCCTTTGCCTGCTGGTGGCCAATGTCCCTGACAGCTTCAACGAGGGTGAGTTACAGCTTCTGCTCCAGCTTTTGAAGTGATTTCTACCAGTGTGGTTAATTCTGGGCTAAACCATGAGTTGTACAGGTTTGAATGCTGAGTGCTGCCACCAGGGCATGTTCAGTCCCATTTTTGCAGGCCAGGCTCGCCATGTGTGTCACTGTCACAGACATCTTTTATGACAAATCCTTTCCTTAGGGTTTTTTCTCCTGAGAAGCCTCAAGAACAAAATCTAAACAATGGTTGTCTGCTGCTGTGGAATGTAACAGGAGGATCTGTGATTGGTCTCATAGAGTTGTTTCTAGTTAATGGCCAGTCACAGTCAGTTGGCTCAGACTCTGAGACACAAGTTTTTGTTACTCATTCTTTCTTATTCTATTCTTAGCTAGCCTTCTGATGAAACCCTTTCTTCTATTCTTTTAGTATAGTTTTAATATAGTAGATATCATAAAATAATAAATCAAGCCTTCTGAAACATGGAGTCAGATCCTCATCTCTTCCCTCATCCTCAGACCCCTGTGAACACGGTCACACGTCACAGCTTTTCATCTGTAGGTCCCTGTTACAAAGGCTGGTTGGGCAGGGGCTGAGAACCTCCTCTGTCCCTGCTAACAGGGATTTAGATGCCACTGAGACAGGTGACAATTTGAGTTGGGAAGGGCAGGTTTCCTCAGAGCTGCTGTTGGCTCTTTAGTGTGCAGGGGTTTGATAAAGAACGGTGAGCGGCAGGACGAGGAGAGCGTTGGCGGCCGGCGCAGGACGGAGGCTCTGCGGCACCTGTGCAAGATGAACCCTTCCCAAGCCCTCAGGGTGCGGGGCATGGTGGTGAGTCTCATCAGAATCCCAAAAACCTTCCTGAAACTTCCAACCCACCAAAGGTGACTGAGGCTGGGTGTTTTATCAGGTGGAGGAGTGTCACCTGCCAGGTCTCGGTGTGGCTCTGACCTTGGATCACACCAAGAACGAATCCTCAGATGATGGAGTGAGTGACCTGGTGTGTTTTGTGAGTGGTTTGCTGCTCGGAACAAACGCAAAGGTTCGGACGTGGTTTGGAACTTTCATCCGAAATGGACAACAGGTAGGAAAATCTTAGAGTATTCTGCTTTTAAAGAAATATCCTTGTAGCTTGATGTAACTCTTTTGGATGTGTGCTGCAGATTTGTCTGAATGCACAGAAATGCTGTTGCACGTCTTGGAGGAACCTTTACAAGGCAACCTCCTCTTATGGGGCTCTCTGTAAATAATGTCCCTGAAGGCAGCAGCTATTTGGTTGTTCCCCTGAGAGGTTTTTAGGCCTGGAAACCAGGGAATTGTATGTTTGTAATATTTGCCTGATAAAAATGTTCATTCTCAGTGTTCACAGTGGGAAATGCTCAGGTGACATAGCTAAAGCTCAGAACTGACAACTATATTTAAAAAATATAACCCTCTATCTTTGACTATGAAAACTCTTCCATAGCACATTGTTTCTTGGGCTGAATTTGACGTTGTCCTCATCTCTTAACCTCTCGCACAGAGAAAAAGAGATAACATCAGCTCTGTGCTGTGGCAGATGAGGAGGCAGCTGCTGCTGGAGCTGATGGGGATCCTGCCCACGGTGCGCAGCACGCACGTCGTGGAGGAGGCGGAGGCCGACACGGAGCCCAACGTGTCCGTGTACTCGGGGCTCAAGGAGGAGCACGTGGTGAAGGCCAGCGCCCTGCTGCGCCTCTACTGTGCCCTCATGGGCATTGCTGGCCTCAAGTAAGGAGCCTTGGCATGCTCTGGGGTTTTGGTCATGTCATGGCTGTGTGAGGGCTTTGGGCTTTCGGTCGTAATGCCACTGTGTCCTCAGAACTTGTGGCAGCACTCACCAATTTCTCTGTTGCTGCAAAATCACTTCTGCAGACTTGTTAAGAGAACTCTGAACCCACATGGCTGGAGAAGTGTGCAGAGTTATCAGCTACTTTCTCTTCTAGCAACATACATAATATGGATTATGAACTTCTGTTCCTTTGCTTTCACTTTTTAGAAATGACCTTTTTAGGCTTTTTGATGTAGGATCTCTATGCATTGTTAGTTTTAATTTAAGTAGTTTGTACCAATAGATAAGATTATTTCCTGGGGAAGTTTTCTCAATGTTGTCTCATAACAGAGATTTTTATCTCTGTTAAGTTCAGAGCAAATTACCACCTTGACAGATTGAATAACAGGGAAAAT